GACTACCGCCGTAGGCGGGGGTGTCCGGGGGAGCTCCGCCGCGGCCTTAAGGCAACCCTCGGCGTCTGTACCTCTCTTCCTCCTTCCCTCCCTCCTCGGGCCAGTTTCGATTTCTCCGAGAGCAGCGTTCCCCACCACAGCCAACGCCCTGGTCAGGCGGGTCCGGCCGTGGCCGGAGGAGCCGTCCGCCAGAGCCCCACGGCAGAGCCAGGCCGTAACAGCCGTGGCGGGGCCCAGCGGGCCTCACGCTGACCGCTGCAGGGCAGGCCAGCCCTGGCTCGGGCGGGCCTTCTCCTGAGGCTCGGCTCGGTCGTGAGGGCTGATGTGCGAACTGGAGTCAGTTAAAAATCGCAGAGAGGATGTCACCCCCTTCCCTACCCCTCACGGGGTACGCCCTGTGAGACCCCGGTGAAGTTCCTCATCAAAAGATAAGAGCTAAGGGCAACTGTGCCCCCATCCGGCTTGTGTTTCTGCCGGGTTCAGCTCCTGCAGCGCCATTGCTTGTTCGTGTGTATCTCGCCTGTGAGAGACGCTGGGGTGTTGCAACACTCTGTTGCACTTCATCTCATCGGTTACCTGATGGCGCTTTGGCCCGTGATTTGCCATGGTTTAAAGCCGGGGGGTGTCCCAAAATGAGTCAATAAACGGGAGTCCTGGGTAGGGCATGACATCTCTCAGCTCATTGAGCTGCTGCCTCACTGCTGGCCATGTGATTCTGGGCTGTAAGCTGTGGGCTGAGGACAGGCTGAGCCCTTCTGGCAAGAGCAGCGTGTCCCCATGAGAGTGATGGTGACCTGGGTTGGTCCCAGGTGCCTTGCGATGCTGCATGCTGATGGAGTTGGATGGCTAGAGAAACCTCATTATGGCTGGCTTGTGAGACTGGAAAGCACCCTACTCACCTCTCCAGATGTGACAAATACAGCTTTCACTTTGGGGTAGGTAAGCTTATGAGTGATTTAGAAAATGATGAATGTAAACCATTAATTTTAAATGGTGGGAGAAAGTATTTTTTAGTATGTTTTCAAAGCTGCAGAAGAGCAGTGATTTTTAATGATTGTCACAATGATCACATTGTCGCTCTTTCTTCAGGGAGGCGCAGACCACATTTCAGAATAAAATATACAAATATAGAAAGAAATGATAGGTGACCTTTAATTTCACATTAGATACTGGCTGAAATTTTGGAGAAGCAAAATATGCTGTACTGATAAGGTGGTCACAGTGCAGTGAAAAGATGCTGATTTATCAGCAGTATCCTGTAAATACTCCATAATGGTATGTGAAGGCTGCTTGAGAGGCTTTGCTGTTCTCTTATACTTGGAGAATTGTTTCATGTGCAAGCATAAGTTGGGAGTATGCATAGTGGTGTATTTTTCTCTGGGTGTTTCTTTCTCCCACAGCTGATGCCTCAGCTCTTTTTGCTTCATTTAACTGAAGGCAGACAAGATAGATAGTTGTTCTCTTTAATCTTTCTCCTGTTTTGTGGCAGTGCCATTGGCTGTTCTCAGCAGGATGAGGTGTTTCAGTTGAATCCCATAGCACTTATACAACTCAAGGTGTACCTTTCATCCTTTTTTGGGATTCCTTCTCGATAAATCTGCTCTGAGTGGGCTCACCTTCTTGGGCACTGGTTCATTGTTCGGAAAAATAAGTAAAAAAAGCAAAGTGACACATTCTGCCTTGACTGTGATGTATTTTCTTAAAGAAAGCCTAGAGACCAGCTGAAGTGCCAGTATTCTCAAGGCACTCAAACTCGTGGTGCTGTGCTGATGATGTTCAGCAAGTCTGTGAAAGTTTACAAAGCCCCGGTGTTTGGCCAGTAAGATGGGGTCTCTTACACAGAGAAGGAGAAGACCCTGCAATATTTTTTCTCATTCTTCTGAGCCTGTCTTTATGGGGAGAGGTTTCAAAGCCCTGCATTCCTGTGGCAAGGAGCTGGGCAGAGCCTATGGTGACAGATAATGAGGCTTGGTGGGGAGCATGGCTGAGAAATGCGGTTTGTCCTTCCTCTCATTTTCTGAGATTTTTATGTTGCTTCCTCTGTGGCCTGTGCATGTTCTCCTGTGAAGGTGGGTGCTTGGTTTCCCCCAATGATTTCTTGAATGAGAGGTGTCTTGGTCTTCTAGCAGAGGATTTTTGGCAGAAGGTTTGCATTTTGCTTTGCTGTTTGTGCCTGTCGGTGTTGAGACTTTCCCCAGATCATGCCAAGACACGGGAGCTGTCAGTTGTTTCTCTGTCATGAAGGTGTCGCTGGGGTTGTCAGATGATGATGGGGCCTTTGGGAAAGAAGTATAATGAAACATGATGTTTATCTTGCTAACTGGTGTGCAGTGGTTCAACTTCCAGATACTTGTCAAATTAGGAATGTAGACAGAAGAATTAATGTTAGATACAATTCTAAGACCTCTTTCTTGCATTGAGTTCATCTCAAGCCAGGAGCATTCTCTGAGGTCCCACAACCATCTCTGCGTCTTCTCAAGAGTTTTGTTGAAGACTTTAGACTGTAATAATTCTAGTATTTGGCTATTAATCTGATGAGCTGGCAAAACTGTGTACTTAAAATGAAACTCCAGAAACTACACTCTGAGCACATACCCTCATTCTCTGTGGCAGATCCAGGTCAATTTGGCTGTCCTAAGCAAGCAGCTCCTGTCTTCTCATCCCTGGCACCTAGGCCTTATTCAGCAAGTTGATATGGCTAAACCCTTCTGATGTTTTTTTTCTTTCAGTAGGTTGTCGTCTGTGCCCTGGGATGAGAGGAGGGACCATTCAAGGGCGTGCAGGAGAGCCCTTTGGCATGGGTGGGATGGGGCAGTAAGTGCTGCCCTTAGCCAAGGAGCTAAGGATGGATGGATTTGTATGACTGTGGCCACAGTGGTGGTTCCCCAGGGAATCAGAGCAAGTGTTTGAGCAGGAGCTTTACAAGGTGTTGTGGTTCAGACAGTTGTTCTATCACCAAAGGAAAGGAGATCCGTGGGTTGAAATAGAAACAGATTTAATAAAGTAAGAAAGCCAGTATTAATAACAGCATTAATATAAAGTACACAGAGTTATACTTAGCTGGTACAGTAGTGGCAAGCTGTGATGGTCACAACAAGCAGGGGAGTAGGCCTTGGAAGTAGAATGACAGACAAGACCCTCTGCTCATGCTGACCATTAAAGAAAGAGAACCATCCCCGGCAAACTCACCAGTTCTTAGTGAGCGTGTTGTTTATGGTATGGAATAATTTTGTTGGCCAGCTTGGGGTCAGCTGCCCTGGTTTTTGCTCTCCCCAACTTCTGCATCTGGTTAACTTGAATCTGTTGAAGACCTGGATCACCTCATACCAGTGCTGGCCAAAATCTGAAATGAAGTGTCTTATCAACTTTGTTCCCATGAAATCGAGTATTGTAGTCTTGGCAAGAATTAAGCTTTCCTGACTAGAAAACGGATTCCGTGACTCGATC